CCCCAAAACCCCAAAACCCCAAAACCCCAAAACCCCTTAACGAAAAAATAAATTTGAAATTAGTATAATTAACGGAAGATGTTCACTAATTCCAAAATTGAGAACAAAAAGAAACAGTATAAGAATTCCCTATGTTCGAAAAATAGGAACCATAAGAGTCGGAAAGGGTCTCAGACTGTATACAAGCCATTACAGTCAATGACCAATTCCAGGGTTCACAGTAGAATGAGGAAAGGCTTGTCTTCTAATAAATAAGTCTTTGAATAATATCTGAATCCCAAGTACCTCCCCCTTACACCCTAAGAGTTTGAATAAAGAAGTGAAGGTTAATAACTCCTTGGTGTTTGCAAACGACAAAAAGCTACTCAGTGAGGAATACTTCAGGTATTAGCTTTTCATAATAATTTAGAGGCCTCAAGAAACATCTCAAGCTAATCTCCTTCCCAGATGATAAGGAAAATGCCATGGTGGAGGTGCCCTATGAGCTCAAGAACTTCTTGGAGTCTGAGATGAACCTCGATGATTATGAGCCTCTTGACCGTCAAGAGAAACTGCCTAAAGTAAGTCTGTAAATGACTATTTTAGAAACAACTCATTACAATCAATATGAAGAGAATTAAATGTAATAGTAATTCTAAAGAAAGTTTTAAAATTTTGTCCTGGAATCCATGAGGAAATTTCAAAAAGAAAGAATTCAAAACTAATGAAGACGCCAAGCTTAATGCTCTCAAGAAGGTAATCGAAAAAGGTAAATTTACATGCTTAAAAACTTGTTTAGCATCCCTTCGAAACCAGTCAGAAGGCTCACAAGTTAATGATTCTAGCTCAAGAAAAGATGAGAGGCCTCGAAGTACCTCATATAAGGACAAGAAGTACTTTATGTCTTATCTTGTTAGGCCGAGATCAAAGAGTAAGAAGAAGATTAACCCGAATTCTGTCATCTCCTTAACCCTCAAGGTTGACAGGAATAAAGTACGTCGGATCCAATCTGCACATGCTGTGAGAAGGAGTAAAGAAGGTAGTATTGAACGACTTAAGTACCCTAAATGGTCCAAATTGTACTCCAAATCCTCTCAACTATAGTGATCCTTCTCGCTCCAAGTATGACATTCCTCGAGTGAAAGAAGACATGATATTTAATGATTGGTGATACCGGAAAGAAATAGGTACAAACTCTAATGATCCCTCTAGAAAAGCAGATCAAGCACAAGTTGTTACTCAAGATGAGCAAAGAACTGCACGAAGAAATTACCATAAAGCATGAAATGAAATCCAAACAGGACAAGATGCGTATAAAGAAGATGGAAAGGTGGTTCTCAAGGAAGAAGCGTGAATTATCCCAAAAGAAAAAGCTGGATAAATCCATCTCAGCACTGGTACGACAAAGCTAATCCTGTAGAAGCGCATCCAGGCACAGAACAGGAAGGAAATGAACAAACAGGCCTTCAAGAAGTGGCTAAGGAAGTCAATGGGAGATCTGAGGATTGAAAAATTGAAAATGAAGGAAATTGAGAAAGAAAAAGAGCGTGAAAGATTATATCTCCAACAGTAAACCCTGAATCATAGCTGTAGGGAAAAGAAAGAGCACAAGAGGATCGAAGGCGAGATAGCATTTAAGGAATGGGTTAATAAGAAGAGAGCCCAGAAAAGAAAGGAGAAAAGGAAAAATCTAGATAAATCACATAAGGATAAACATAAGAGGCCACAATCCTCCCAGAATGATGTCTTTTTAGCATATAGCTACATGAGAAAGGTAAGTTAGGAGCTTTACATACGGATTTGCTAACTATTGAATTTTTAGAGCAGGACATAAAATATCAAAACAGTTGATTTTTCAATTAGAAATTTAAAATTCGGGGTTTTGGGGTTTTGGGGTTTTGGGGTTTTGGGGTTTTGGGGTTTTGGGG